TACTCGGTTCTATTTCATAACAAAATTATCAAAAACTATTGTATGTGATTTCGATATCATCAGAGAATTGTCAGAAAAATCATGAAATTATATATTATATATTGATCCAAAGGTGACCTGGCCTTTGGAGTATACTTTCGTAGGGGGTAATGTGGACTCTTATGCGTTGGTGTCCCCTACGATTCTTTCTTAAGAAATTAAGTCGATTTTTTTCTTAATGCTATATGTACATGAAAAATGTTATGTAATGTACGTGAAATATTATATTATCTTATCTATACATAAAACTGTATTTTCCAACGGTTCTATGGTCCAATGGTTCTATTTTATTGAAGTGTTGGCATATAAAAATTGTATATCAAATATTGAATGTACTGATTCTTTCTATCTGATCCAGGTAGCTCCTGGCCGGTGAAGATATATTTAGAAGGACCTCCGATGAGATATTACCTCCACTTATTTGTTAATATATTATTGAAATTGAATTTCTGAAAAAAAGAATGTTTTTACGATTAGACTTTGGGGACGCTAAAGGGGTTTGATGGTTTTTTATAGGCCAGTACTTTTATAACTTAAATTTACAGAATAACTTATGTTATATATATTTTTAGACTCGGTGATAAATGTATTCTCTAGTATAATGTGAAGAATTGGTGTTTGTTAATATGGACACAAACTCTTTATTTTATTTACTATTTACCAGATTTTTTGGGGGAGGGGGTTATCTTGTCACCTCCGTACAAACATGTATTACTGAGCACGGACTGACTGTATGTTTTATTTCTTGATATATAAATATTAATAAACGGGAGTAAACGTACCATCATAGTCTATTTCAACAAAGCTTTCAGTTTCATCTTCAGATATTTGTTCATTCTCTTCAGATAATAGTTCATCCAAAAAACTGGTCACAACTCTCCATTCCTTACCAGCCTATAAAAGAAATTTTCTTTTTATATATAGTTTTAACTCTATCATATTTCATGTCGTTTGTCAGGATAGAGGGGGGGATTAGTACACAAATCAATTTTAGGTTTTTATTTGAAGACCTTATTTAAATAAAAATATATAAATGGTGTCACAGTGAAACTCCAGCAGCAACCTTTCAATACAATTCCAGAGAATTTATATGCGGAATCCGATTTATTTTGATGTTGATCTATTAGAAGACTTAAACTATTCTCCGATTTTGATTCTTATTAAAAAAAAAGAAGTGGAGAATTTGTCTGTGAATTCAAAACGGTTATAAATTTCATCTGAACAGGAATAGTTGAAAAAACGTCAGGGTTGAAAAAAAAAAAGCGTAAGTTTTGTTTTATTCTACTGACTTTTGAAGAATTTGTCAATTTTACTTATCTGTGTTCTTAGGTGAGTTTTGGAATCCGAACATCTGATTTTCACCCTTGCAATATCCTGTAGCTTACATTGTAGCACGTTTTAAGATTACTTTGTGGAGATATTCGTAAAATATTAACCATTGTAATGCTTACATGTCCTGAGTAGATATATTTTTACTAAACATTGTCTTTATTTCAAAATCAATATACATGTAACGTGTAATGTTACTTATATCGCGGGCACCTGGCAATTTCATCAATGTCAATGTTCCAGAATTTTGTTGCCAAAATCAACACATGCATTGTTAAAAAATGATTGATGTCGAACTATCTATAATAATCACAAGAAGAAAAAAGGCCTTTCATGTTGAACTGAAGGACGTCCTTCAGTGACTTTTCATAGGTCATTCTGTCACTGAATGGCAGGTACATTTTATGTACCTTTTGCTACGTTCCAGCCACATTTCAGGTACTTTTCAGTCACCGATCAGCGGACACATTTCAGTTACCTTTCAGTCGCAAATCAATGACCTTCCATCGACTTTCCGTTGTATTTCAGTGACCTTTCCGTCACTTTTCAGCGTCCTTTTCATTATCGTTCAGTGATATTTTAGTCTTTATTCAGAGAACTCTTCACTGGATTATCATTAGTTTGTAATTTGTATCAATCTCTTAAAAAAATTGCATAGAATGCATTTACGTCTAAACTGTCTTTTTGTTTTCTTATTCTTCATGATCTTGTTACATTGAAATAATTCAGGTACATAGAACTGGTAATCAGGAATAGATGTTAAATTTTCTTTAAATTGTTTTCTAATGTCTAAAATTCTTATGCTAAATTTTGATAATAGATTGAAAATTATATGTTTGTCTTAAATCTTACTAAATCATGATAAATATTTTAACAAGCTTATTCAATATAACGAATACACAATCAAACAATTTAAAAAAAAATGTGGTTATCGGTTAAAATGCTTTTTATATTAATAGGAAAAATGTCATCTTTTTTTTCAGATCTTTAATTGATTTCAAAAACATCATTACATTTATATCAATCTACATGTAACAAATTGTACAGTGCGTCTAATTTTCATGGAAATATCTACTATTAAACTGGGAGACAGAGTTAATATTATTTATACCTTTTCTGGAAGAATCTAATGTTCAAATTTTCATTTTGTAATTGTCACAATTGTTGAAAAATAAATGAAAGACCACTGAAATGTATCTTCCATTCAGAGGACTGAATGGTAACTGGAGGATCGCAGAAAAGTTACGGGAAAGAATGTTCTCAGTAATCTTTCAGTGACCATTCAGTGGACATTCAGTTACAATTCCGTCGACTGAATTGTTTAATTTCATCCTGTGATTCTTTGAATATGTACCCAGATTTCTCTACATCCTCTTAAAACTAACTAAAAATAAAAGTGGTTCTAATTCAATACCCATACCTGTGAATCTTTAAAGAAGTTGTATAAAAGAATGTCGTCGAATTCTAGACCTTTTGCTTCGTATATCGTTAGTACGATTCCATGCTGCAATTCCTCGGGTAAAGAATCCCTGGATTCGTCATTCACCACTAAGATCGCCTGATGAGCACCAAACTCAATGTTTGATGTTGATTGTTTCTTTCCTGTTGCTAGCATCGTAGCTACATCCCGTTAAAATATAGGTCAATTAATAATATGGATGTCTAATGTATGCTGTAAACCAACTTTTATTCGCAACGACTTTATTTTGCTATTCATCCATCTTTGCTAGCCAAGGGTTACCGAACTGAAATCTACTCTACAACCCTTGGCAGATTTGGCTGAAATTTTTAGAACTCGCGCAAACGAATTTGATTGGCTGCGAATTAAGTCAAAGTCTATGCAATGTTTTTACTAATCAACGAATTTAGGCAGAATTAAAGTCTCTTCGTGTTTTATGCAAAAGAAGAATTATCTTTTACAAAGGAAGAAAGTTAGGACGGGATATATGCTAAAAAAAAAAACAAGGGAGTAATTAATTTGAATTTTTTCTTTTTGATAATATATGTTTTCAAGAATTATTGAAAGGACCACATAAGTCCGTGTTCCTCATTTTAGGTGCATCAATTTAAGCGAATCAAATGTCACGGTTCATGGATTACAATTGAAACGGCAACATGTAGAAACTGTTGTCAAACTCTTGATACAAAATCACGAAGAACGATATTTTCTACCACCTTTGAGGTTTGCCAACAGCTGTATGAGGTGTTGGGTTATATTCCACATCAAATTGCATGGAGGTCGCCATATTGCTTCAAACGTCATATTGATGCAAGTCTTTTTAGGCTATTTTCATCGGACAAATATTGAAGAGCTTCAAGGGACTTAGCTCAATTACGGCGATAGGCGGCGCAATTAAAATTCCTGTCTGATAGGACTAAATCTGACAAGGATTGTAGAGTAGATTTCGGATGGGAAACCTTTGGCTAGCGAAGATGCTATTCAACATGGCCAGAATATTTCGCTGCCTTTGTTTTTCTCGATCAAGATGTTTTTTTTTTATCTGTTATTACATGCTCAGATCTAGAGACTTAAATGACTGGTTCGCAGCGAGAAATATTCGCAATGACTACCAATTCTTGTTGCCCCCGTTTGTTAATCCATCGAAAAATATTTTGACCAACATAATTGGCTCCTGTAGTCACATCTCACTAATGCAGCGTGGTTATCAATAGCTTGATTTTCATCGTTTTTTTAAATGTGTAAAAATATCCAAGGACGATTACTCCATTAATTGTGCATAGATTTTGATGCGTCCTTCTGTTTGGTTTTATTTCGCCGTAATCATATAAAAAGAACTGCACTTCCTTTAAACAATATAATACATACTGGATACTGCAAGATTCTAGAAGAATGGGAGCAGGTCCTTGAAATAATCCCTTGTCCTTTTCTAGAATATCAAAAGAATCTGGATAATATTTCGCCAGAATGTCCAAAATGCTAGACGCTAGACTAAGTATCCCATTGTGAGAACGATAATTGTGAGTAAGTTGATGAACCTATAAAATATTATAAATTGCAAGTTGATTGGTATAAACAAATAAAAGCCCAAGGAAGAATTTAATTTAAAATTTTTGAAATAAGAATATTATCAAGAGTTCCCCTTGAAATATTGTTATTTACCTTTTTAGGAATGAGAACCTTTTCAAAATCTTTTCTTGAATTCTTGGCATGGTAAAAGAGGGAGCAAAGATCTTCAAATCGAAAGCATATTCCCCTCATGATACCTTGAGCTGTATCTCCGGTCAAAAATATATCATTCGGATTGCGACACAAGTTCAACAGCAAATATAGTTCTGCTTGAGTGAAATCCTGGGTTTCGTCGACGTATATTTGTTGAATATTCCACAAATCTCTATCGACTCTATTCATTCTTCAGGAAAGAAATCATCGTTTTAAAAAAAAAATGTATGAACAAGTTCTATTCTTTTTTTATAATCTCACTCTGAATGCAAATGCAGTTTATCGTATATATATATATATATATATATATTAAAATTCAAAATGTCCTTGGTATAGGTATGTACATATAGAAAAATAATCCAGAGTTTGGAAAAGATGATCACATTTTATTCCAAAGCGCTTTCGCCATTCGGCTCTTCAGTGGATTTTGAATAACAATAGCTATTGTTATTCAAAATCCACTGAAGAGCCGAATGGCGAAAGCGCTTTGGAATAAAATGTGATCATCTTTTCCAAACTCTGGATTATTTTTCTATATATATATATATATATATATATATATATATATATATATATATATATATATATATATATATATATATATATATATAATATCTGCTTCAGATAATGTCTGTATCTCAAAAATATTTCATAAACTGTCTCTCGTTCTCCTGTAAAGTTCGGGGCTTTTTTCTTGCCTTGTTCAAAATAGTCACTCTTACTGAGATGTCCCTGTTTAGCAGAGAGAGCCTCAAAAGATCCCTTTATGAAGGATATAATTTCCATCCATATAAGAGATGGGTGATAATGGTCCATACCCTTATTTATTTTTGGCCACACAAGATTCACGAAAATCTCATAAGTAACTTCCCTTCGAACATCACTCATTCTATTTACTTCTTCTATATTTTCAGCGTCAACATTTTGTTCTTCGTTCATGATTTCATCTAACTCTATATCAGAATCATCATCTATTGAAGCCAGAAATTCGAGCGATTCATTTTCATTCGTCCAGCCAGGTATATCAGCCTACATTATATATTTTAATATCTTATTGATTCAGTATTCAATAAAAAAAAATGATTTACATGTACAATTACATGAATTACTGAGATGTTTTTTTTTAAATAGAACACACTTTAATTTGTAAAATACAGCATTTTCAATTTAATGAAATAGTGACCTTTACATTGCCTTGCTCGTCCCGACGAAAAAACGGGTTGGGTAAAGAGGCATCAATCATAAGCAAGAGCTTTCTGGATGTTGTAAAGATGGGAAAGTGAACATTCTGGAGGTCTTGAAATCTTGACGGTAAGGCAATACCAACCCTTGTAGTGCGACCAGATTCAAAAGAACTGGCATTTTGGATTCCATAAAAGGTTTTCCGGACTTCGTTGCAAAGTACAAGATTTTTAGAAATAAATATCTGTCGAATATGACCATATTCAACAGGATTCCGAACGTCATTTTCCAGATCTTTCTCACACATTTGAGCAGTACTGGCAATCTGCTTGCTATCATCTTCCTCATCAGCTTAACAAATGAACATGTTCAGAATTAGCTTTAAATAATATACACACGTGAATGCACTTTCACTGTAAAAAAGAATTCAAAATCAAAAAATAAAAATACCTTGATTTTCCTCATATTCGATAACAGTTTTGTTATGTTGATCATATTGACTCCAAAGACGATACAGACAACAGGTCGTTTTCCCTGTGCCACTTCTACCCATCAATAATAGCGGACCAGCTGAAGACAAATTTATTATTACATGTTCTTTCTCTGTAACTTTGAATGGGAAATCTTTTGCATATTCCCTAGGGTCCAGAGCACAAACAGCCATGTCGGTCGAAAAGAAATAGAACTTTAGAACATGATATTCTTTGGCAAAATGACTTGCTGGTAGCAATAATTTCTCTTTTGTAGTATTTGGTTTTGATTCCTGTGAGCTATATCGAATAAATCTTCGAGGGATCCTCCTGCCTTTGTCATATTTACAATCAAGAGTTTCAGAACAAGTTAAGTATTTCTCGATTAAACATTCTTCGCCTTTTCGACAAGAGATTGTAATTTTCTCAAGGGATTCCCTTTTTCCCTTCTCATCAGTGAATATATCCCATATTCTAATCAACTCGGTATACAAGACGTTGTTTAACGTAGAACTACTTTCAGTTAGTCTCTGAGAAAAACAAATTGCTATTTCCCATAATATTGGACCAGTTTCGAATACCTCTATTGATTTATCTATAGTCTGCAATTTTATTTTCTCGCAAATACTACCAAGGAGCTCCCCGCGAGCAAGTTTTTTAAGCCTTTGAATAATATCTATTTTGAAAGAACGTGGTGTTCTCCGACAGTTCAGTTTTTTCCAAACATCAACTGTGCACTCTAATTCCCATTCTTGAGTTTCAAAATAATTAGGTTCAATCTGTTTGAAATAAATTAAAATTCAAAGTTAATCAGCTAAATTAGTAAAATTATTCAAACTGTTGTCAAAAACTGCAATTTAAAAAAGAACACTTATCACAGTTTACGTACATATTCATCCTGTACTTCACATTCTGTCTTCTCAATACTTGATATTGCTTTAGTTTCCTCGATAGAGTCGGACACAACCTTAATCATAATAGAAAAGATACAAATGAATCTGTATACTTGATTACATGTAGATATGAATGAATCAATTTCCTTTCAAACCAATACAGACAAGAACGAAATTCTTTCTGATTTCCTGATTTTCCTTATTATAATTGAATATTTCTCTATTTTCATCTAAATTCTATCTATATTTTGCATGGGTCTGACCGGTCCAAAGAGGTGATCATTCCTCCATGGCACCTAACTCCATCTCTAATGCTTTAGAGGTCCATGTTTGCTCTCTCTTACACAGGTCGGAGAGAATACTCGAAATCGGGTATTATCCGTGAAATCGCGTATAATACTCGATATTAGGGCATCACTGAATCCGCGAAATCGGGTATTCCGTGCAACTTTCTATAAAAACTAAAGAATAAAGCAACGGCGCATTATGCCAGTAACTATTACTTGTACATCAGTATCTTGTGGATTTATTTTTATTAAACCTAATTCATACGGTTGTCAAATAAGTTTAAAATCACACGACAAACACTGCTGGGGTAACAAAGAGGACACAATGGCGTTATTATTTTTCAATATAATTTCTTCGTTTGTCTTTATTTCCCATTTAAGTATTCCATATACTTAATTTTCTAATTTTTGCACTATTCACAAAACGTGAAATTTTAAAGAAATTAAACGACTAATGCCGTGTTATGTATTTTTACTGAAAAATGTATGGCGTCCCTTTCACGTGAAATATAAATTATTCCTAACAATAAGAGAGTACAGTATAAGCGAGTCATAATTGTACATCTCTGCCATAATAGAATACCAACATTATTATAAAGAAGAAAATAAAATAAGATTAAAATAAATACCCACGGGAAAACAGTTTGAAAATAGCTAATTGAAGGTGAGTATCTTTTTTATGTCAATTTAGCATGAAATTTTTATTCAAAGACACCGTAAATTTTTTGGTTGCATTTTAATCGATACAAGATATGCTATTTTACCTTTATTTTATGCATATGTGTGAAAATTGAGATCGAAGTCATATGAACAGGATTTTCTCTATTTTTTTTGGGGGGGGGGGAGTTAAATAAAAGTCAAATGTGTACATCTTTTCATGAGCTTATAATACATTGAATTTCTCAATAAAGAGCGATGTACAGTCATATTGAAATATGAATTACATAGTCAAGTTTTCACATTTCTTATAGTTTTTACGTTTATGAACATGTTAATGAACAAACTGAAGTAATGGAGTGTTCAATTGCCTTGGAAACTCTTGTCTTACTTTTTGGGAATATAATTCCTCATCGGACATTAAAATTTCACAAAAATCGTAGCCACTTCCTTTCTTTATTATACTATTTGATAGACATGGTAAATTTTACCTCTTTACCTTCTATATTTTTTTTTATATCGCTATCTTATACCTCATTAAAATATGCTATACAACGCACTATATGATTAGTTCTAGACAATATTTCACAGTTTTCTTTTAGTTATTTTATCTATGATACGTATTACTCATGGCAATAACTTTTCCTAATACTTATCTATAATGAAAAAATGTGTTTAAAAAATAAACATGAATTCTAGTTACTTGTTGTCTCATATTGTGTTAGAAAATAACTGGTTGCATTTTGTTTACCTACAATGTATATGATTTTTATTGATGAAAAATCTTCCCTACAATTAAAAATATATGACCGAGTTTAACCGACCGTGACATTCAAAGAGAGGTCTCTTGGACACATGTAGAACACAGTCGATGTTGTTTTGTCAGAGGTGGTCAAGAAGCCTTTAGCCCCCCCCCCCCTTTTGAAGTCGCCAAGAAAAGGTAAAATATTGATGACTTAGCGAAATTAAACGATCAATAGTTATGTTCTCTCATAAGCTGTATTCCTGAAACTATCACTATGTCTGCTAAAATGTTGAAGACATTTTCTGCAAATATGTATGAACCAGTGATAAATAAAAAAGAAAAGGTTTTCAAAAAAAAAGAAAGAGGGTTCTTTTAGCCGAAATTTTAGACATTTTTATCATTACATTATTTATACATTCATAAATAAATTTGATTTTATGCACAAGATGAATGTGAAAGTAATTAATGACGCATACTTAGATACGATAGACATTCCCTTGTTTATACATGGCATCATATCTTGTGTGTGAAATGTGTTTCCGTATAATTTGATTTATTTTCAAATAGTTCATGTTTGTCGTGTTGATGTGGAATTATTATAAATTCCCGAATTCTGATACTTTACAATTCTGTTGTGTTGGGAATGAACATTAGGAAGATGCATATACTTTCAACATAAGGAAAAATATAAAGCAAATCGAACGCCTTTTTGTGTGCAGATCATGAAATGTCCTGAGCTCCACGGGTATTTGTTGTCCCGAGCGCATTAATCTTGACGCCCAAATTCTTACTTGGCTGGTGATACCTTTAGAAAACATGTGTATCTAGATGAAAGTTAACTCGGCAACATGCGCCATCACATTGCTTAAGTTTTATTAGGTGATTACACCTCCTATACCCGATTTCGCGGATTCAACGATACCCTAATATCGAGTATTATACCCGATTTCACGGATAATACGCGATTTCGAGTATTCTCTCCGACCTGTTACATGTACTCTTTATTAATTGTTAAATGGAATGCTGTGCTCAAATACCATTGCTTTTCGCCATATATTTTATCTTATTTATTCATTGATATGTGAAACTAATTTGAAATCATCTTCTTTCGAAAATAGAAACTTAATTTGGCATTTACATGTATATTTAACACAAATCCTACAGTAATGTCTACTTCCACTGCAAACTTATTTTTTTTTAATCAAAGAAATGATTAACAGATAATTGCCTAGAAGTATTCATATACACTGTATATCAGTGAAGCGAATTGATTGTTAATGATTCAGATCAATACAATATGAAGATGAAATGTCTATTTTGCCTTTTCTAATCAATAACACTTTTAAATGTAGTAAAAATACATGTATGGTGTGAAATGACTCGTTCCTGCAAAAAATACATTTTTACATGATGCTTGATTTCACATTTATCCATCTGTTTGGGCTTTTGTTTTCTTTTGGCAAAATGTACAAACTAATTCATGTATATCAACAATGTCCATATATGGATAGATTATCGGACATTTTTATTCTCCATTTAGAAAGACCCGTGTTTTTTTATTCTGTACATTTCAAAGGAGCAACTCGTTACAAATCAAGATGAATTTTGTTAAAAATCTTCCATGCACTATTTTTCATAAGAGGAAAACCTTATTAACATATAATACAGAGCGTTCTTTTATTCTTTCTAACCTCACAATAGCTCATTCGGTAGTGAATTCGCTCATAGATCTGAGGGCTTTTGGTTGGAACACTACCATTAACTTCTTAAGTCTTAAATAAAATAGGATGCAAAAGTGCCCTTTAAAGCACCTCTCAATTTGAAGTGTAATTTCGTCCGGTTGAAGCCTTAATACAAATTCTTGTGTCACGACAAGCTTAGCACAAAAAGATTCCCACACTGCTTAATTAATTGATGAAGTTAAGTGTAAATAGATCTTTTTACAGGTATTTGGTAATATCTGTGTCATTTTCGATAATTGAAAAAGAGACATAAAACAACAAAATATAAATCGATGTTCTCCACGATTGTTTGAAAATTACCACCTAGATATGGATCTCAGTAAATATGGGAATTCATTAGACAAAAGGTCAGGAATAACTCCCAGTGTCCCCAGTGTGCCCGATCAGGAGTGCATACTCACTTCTCAATGGCATACATGATCCAAACTCTTATATTCTAGTCAAAATTTCTAAGTCCCCAGACAAGTTTTTCTTTTACACCGCTCTTATATTGAATTATTTCAACAGTATAATTTAATAAGTATACAGGATAAAAAAGAAGCAAAACAATTTTTCTCACTTAATTTATTTAATTGAAGAACTTTAACACAATATGCAGAAACCTTCAGGCACCCTAGAATTTAAAAATCACAACATTAAATACTGCATTAGTCTCTATTCAAACGAATTCACAGCAAGACAACCGTTCCTCAAAGAGTTCACACTACTTAATAAACATTATTTTTTGAATGTTTTTTCATGTGGAGACAAGGTCGTCCTCTAGTTCTAGATTCTCCTGCTGGAAAAGCTGTCTCAAACTCCGGTTTAGCTTCTTCCAAATATGTAAGTTAGGGTTGAGATTGGGATGACAAGGGGGCTTACAGAAAGTGCCTGTGCCTTGCCGACAATAGTTACACAATGTCTCATTACATGTTTTCTACACTCCTCCAGTTTGACATCGAGGAGAAAGTACTTCTGCTTCCGGTTCCATTGATATTTCCGATTAAACTTTAGGATGATTTTGTTGTGTTTGTTGAAAATCTAGCGATTTCTAATCATTAAAACGAATTCAGGTATGCTTTGTAGTTTTTTCGGGCGGTGATTATAAATGTTTTGAGTAAAATAAAGTCATACAGTGAATGGAAACAGAACTTTCGTTATTACGATCAGCTTGGGGCCATTTCAACTTCACTTTCACATTGTTGTGTGGACATACACCACATTTTAATGAAACTTTTTTTTCTGTTTTTCGTTATCAATTATAGATGGAGAACACGTGGAAGTAAAAATATGAAGAATACACCCGAAAAACATAGAAATTGAATTTCATGCTTTTTAACAAAAACAGCCACGGTCTAGCAATTACACACTCGATTATTTTTTTTTTTTGGCCTTGACAGGTAAGTATTGCAAATTAAAGGCAAAATTAATTGTAAGTAAATAGTACATTGATGTTAAGGTTTTGAACTTTTTAAAAAATAAAAGTGGGGACCTAGAAATTTTGACAAGTATACAGTGTATTTATTATAATCAGTCTTTTATTCCACTGCTCTCAAATTGTATTATCTAATTGGTCTTTCAAATTGATCACTGTTTGTTTTCTTATTTTTTTTAAGTGTCTTTCATAGTTGTACGAAACGGTTTATGATTTTTTTTTTCGTGAATTTTTTTCTTTGAATCAATTTTGGGCGAAAAGGATGCTTGAAAATAGTAAACGAAAAAAGGAACATATTATGTAATTCCATCGCTGCTTTGAGGTTGTTCTTTGTGTGTTTGTTTGTTCCTTTCTTCGCTTTCGACAATTTTCACTAATATGAAGACACCCCTACCTGCTGGTGCAAAACAGCAAATTTTGTCTATAGTTGGCACTCAGGACTACTGAGCTTGGAAGAGTCTATTTAGGGCCAGCACGTACTGCTACATGGGAACTCGATTTATACGGTCTAATCCGAAGGACGTCGAAAATAGTAAAACTAGAATAAGAGGTTCATGACCTCCTTGTTTTTTTTTTTTTTTTTTGATAAACATAACAAGTTTTTTATCTTAAGATCCATTCTCAACAACCTCGATTGGGAACTATGGAATCGCCTATATCTTATGAATAAGTAAGTAGTTAGTAGGCAAACACTGTGATAGGTAATATGTTTATCTAGCTTAATAAACTGAAAAGCATTCTGTGCATGAGTTATATGTTTACTAGCCTAATAGATTAAAAAGCATTCTGTGCATGAGATATATATGTTTAACTGATTTAATGAGCTGAAAAGCGTTCTTTGTCTCAGTAATTCCATTTTAAGGGGGCCGACTATAGTTTCCATTGCGCAATATTTCGCGCATCATAGTAAAATGAAGCGTATTAATTTTACTGTTTTAATGCAACTTTTTTCGCTTAATTATTAGAATTTAACAAAAGTAAGAAATTATAGGTATTAAATGTAATTATAATTTGATACAACTGATTTTTAACCGATTTTGCAATTGATAGGTAGGTTGACGTCGTTGCAGTGTGTTTTTGACGTTATGATAATCTATAGCTCTTAAAGAAAGGGGTAATAAAAATATTATTAATGAAAAAGTAATAAACATACGCTTTTGAAATTTAAAACAAAGAAATTTGAAAAATATCTCCAATATTTTTATTTTGTTTTTATGTGAATCCATTTTGTATGTCATATTTTGTAATACTCTATAAAAATAGTAAAATTTTCTAATTTTTTGCATTTTGAGATGCCCCTCTGTTAACAAGACGATATAATTATGTGTGATGTGATTCTTACATATATTGTTAAATATATTATTGCTCATCAAATATTATAGTTTGAACAAAATGTCTATAGTAGTAATTGTATAATTTGCTTTAAAGTTTTAAAAATTGGCATTTTCCTATATAATCCTAAAGTAAATGTACCTGTATTTTGAGACGGTCCCTCAAAAATACCTGGACTGTAGATTTCCCCCAAACTTTGCATGAACACTAAAGTTAATGTAAGGTTATATATGGTATGAAAATGAAGAGTTTCGCTATGGTAGTTTTTACACGATAAAACTATGTCGGCCCCCTTAAGCTTCTTTTACATCGTATTGGAAAAGTACTTGGTCAATTCAAATTTGATGCACTGTATTCGGTATACAATGTACTTTATTTATTATTTTCTTCGTTTTAAATAACAATTTTATTATCTTTAAGAAATGAACATGTACAATGGAGCCTCATTTATCCGGACACTTTGGTTCCTAGTCAATTTGTCCGGATATGTGATAGGTCCGGATATCTTCATAAATAAGATAAAATAAATTTTTAAAAATCTGTTTCGAAAAAAAAATCGTCCGGATATCTGGAGTCAGGATATCTGAAGGTTCACTGCATATATTTCTTTCAAATTCAATTTGAATTATATAAAAATTCTATTCTTAATTTTGAGCCTTCACTGAACACTAATTCTGATTTATATTTACCCTGTCTTCTTGTTCTTCTTTACTTTTCCCATTTTCCTGCTCTTCTGAATGTTTCTTTCTCTTCATTATTGTTTCTTCATTATACAAACTAGTGTCATTTAAATTATCTATCATCTCTCCGATTGCAACTTTTAATTTTTGCTTCCCAATAGGTGCAGAAGATTCATTTTCAGTTTCCATGTCGAAATTTTCACTTCTCTGTCTTTTTCTGTGTTTTTCTTTGGAGTAGCTTCCTGTCGCAGTGCTTTCTTTTGCATCCAATCTAGATAGTTTAGATGCCAATCTAAAATACTAAAAAAAAATGTCCTTTTTATGTTTTGATTTCGAAATTTTTCGTTTTTAAATATTTCAAACGATTTCTCTGTCGTTTCAAAACAGCTAAAAATGTCTGAAGCTACAAACATCTTAACAAATTAACAAATCCATAATTGGACAAGTAACTTTGAAAATTGTCCATTTAATGTTTAAGAAGATGGAAGGCATTTAAAAATTCCCCAAAATACAGATAATTCTTATATACGATAATTAAGCATGTTTTACATGCTTGTACAGTGTGACGTCGCGACCTGTATCAAATTAAAAAGAAATTCTAATTTCACATATTTATTGTCTGTTTTAAAAAAAACTACTATTAGAAAGATATCATGTATTTTCACATTTAAAAATTTATATTTATACATGTAAATGAGAAAAGATATGATATTTTCAATAACATTTGAGTCGCATAATACATGTAAATGATATTTTATTCTTATCCTAAGATGTATAATAGCTTTTTTGTTTGTAAAAGATCACATTTTAATAATCAATCAAACTATTTGATAAGGCGTTATATATAAGTTGATAGCAGATTAAACTTGAGAAGCTTTCATCAAATAAATTTAAAACCACATTCATGTAAAAAAAAAAATTAAATAAAATAAGTTTATTCGTATTAAAAAAAAACCTCTTTGTAATAGTAGTAACATTATTCATAATGAATTTCAAATAATTGTTAATATTTATAGGCATTTAACTTTTTCTACGCATTTATATCAGCATTGAAAGATAGCCAGTAGATTCGTTTTTAAGCTAGATATGCAACCACATGTATCTGTTGCATATTTGGATATTTTACGTTAGAAAACGTTAATGGTAATCTAACAACAAATGATAAACCTGATAGCTTTAACCTTCCAATGTCAACTTCCTTACATGTACATGTACCTATCAAAAATATATTTTTCATCGCCTGCATACAGAGTTTATATATATCGATTCGATACGCAAAAGCATGCTCTACGTATGAACGATTTCTAAACGAATAAATTATTTACAAACAGATTGATGATTCCAGAATTTCAACTATTCCGGTTAAAGCCATCAATTTATAAGTTTTTTGTCGATACAATGACCTTGCTAGCAAAAACACTTTATCACTGAGTCAATTGCTGACTGACGTTTATCATAGAAATTGTTAATTCACTACTTAAACATTTAATTGACGCCATTTTTTTATTTCCCAAATATGACAAGGAACACTTGGCAGATGTGACCAGTTGACAGGGGATGTTCCCTCTTACATAGCATGACCCCCCTTCTGATGTTTTGGAAGTCCATGTTTCCTCTGTTCCTATTTCGTATTGTTTTGTAGACTTTTTTCTGAATAATGTTCTATTTCTTCATATGTTTCATGCATAGTCATGCCAGTCATGTAAAACAATTATATAAGTTTTAAAATTACTTTTTGTAATGTTAATATATCTATATATAATACATTCCTCCAGCACATTTGTGCATGTGCTTTCGATACCGACGGAAGTCTTGAGCAAAGCCCTACACTACTCAATCATTGAGTATGGAAGAGAGATACTTACTGTTTTGCACATCAGGTTTATTAGAAGATCGTTACCAATGCATGTTGTAATGAAATTAATTTTATTGATAAATCACATTTTACATCACAACAACTAACATAACTGCCCTCAAGAAAGAAATATCAAAACAGAAAGCAAAATTGAAACAGGAAGACGTATTTTTTGGTTTTTAAAAACTAAACTTTTTTCTCAAGAAAAAAAACCGCATGTAATTATTTTGAAACTTGTAATGAAAATGAAGGAAACGTAAAAGTTAAAATACACAGATTTTGTTCAAACAATTATAATGAAGATTTACAGAAATTATTATTAAACGCTCCATTTGTTTAATTAATATTCAAAAATTTCTAAATACTTTAAGTTGCCATTAAAACAAGAAAAATGGTATTTTAATTTTTCACTTTCGTTTTACTTTCAAAACTTTTCAAATCTTTGTTGGTTTCATTCTTTCAATGTATATCAGTAGTTTCCTCATTAAATAGAATCGATGGTCAGCGGAAGAAAGTCTGAATGGCTTTATTTTTTACTCACTTTACTTTTGTCTTGGACCGTTCACGTAGAAAGCTTAAGATATCTTGGAAATCTTCACAGAAATAAAAGCCCAACTCTTTTCGGGTTATTACTTATGAGTACTCTAATAGAAAATTCCAGTGATATTTTTCTAATCGCCAAACAAAAAAAAAAAAAAAAAAAAAAATTAAAAAAAAAAACGGAAACACATACCTGCAAACGATTATCATCATTCCTGAGATACTCCTCCGGAAGTCTTCCGTCTCTGTCTTTTATATACGATTCAGTTCCCTTATCACACAGAAATCTAGTTACTCTAAGCGAAATTTCATTTTGCTTTGCCTTTGCCAGAACATGAAATAAACTCTCGCCGCGCGAATTAAATTCTCTGGGATTCAACACAGGAAAACGACCAGGATCCTTTTTGACCATATCAAAAAACTTTTCAAGAATGGAAATATTTCCTGTAATTTATATATGTATGTAAAGTATTACATGCAGTCTTCAAACTTCATAATTATTTTACTAGTATGAAAATGATAACCATTAAAATGCTCAGTTATAAATCATGCCCTTACCTTTGTCTCTGTACAGTGCTATGTACAGTGCGGCATGCATAGGAGTGTCGCCATCTTCCATTGATAGATATATAGGATCCGCATTAAAATCGAATAACTTGTGCAAAACCATGTAGAGGTTATTTTGAACTGAAACAGCAATTTCGGATTTACCACCTGAAAATGAAACAAATTAAGTTGAAATTTAAGGACAAAGTCTATTTCAAGTTAAAAGACATGTTACAAGAGAAAAACGTTTTAATACAAGAATATTCTTTAGCAGTAAAGTATTCTTTAGGGAACATACCTTCCGAAATCAACGATCCACTTCGAAGCATATTCTCCATGATCTCAACAAGTAAATTTTCTTGACTTTGTAATTTTTTGTTTTTTATAACCTGTTCAATACAGAACCCCTTAGCGAAATCTTGTAAAACAGAAATCTCGCGATGTTTACGAAATTCAAGAGAGGCAATATGCATTTGCTTCCAATGTTCTTTTTCTCCGAGTCCACGCAATATCCTCGCATACACTTTAACTGGTATACGGGTTAATTTTACTGGTACATCTGAAATCAAATAGTATAAATGAAAATAAGATACAACATAAAGCAATCACGAATCGTATATGATCATTTACAATTGTATATCTCATTGAAAAAACAAATTAATCGGGAATAAATCGGGTAAGCGATTGAAAGTCCTACATAGAATGAGCTAGTTAGATAAAACGAGCTCATACATATATTCTTCAGCAAACGCGTTCTTTAAAAAAAACATGTATATAAAT